CTTTAAGTAATGAAGACATAAGCTTGATGGTATTATTTTTCCATAAAGGTTAAGATCATAAAGAAGATTAGGAGAAATTTAATGAGGTTAAAAAACTGTGGCTTCACTCCAATTACCTGACTGACATTGAAGCCGCTCCCCTAAACATCCAGGAACCAGCTAATGAACAAAAAACTGCACATTTGGAAAAGAACCTCAATTCAATATGTTGAATATACTTACATATGAGAACCTTTTACTTTCTGATATATACTGTAACTTATTAATAATGTCTTTTATCTTAACTTAAACTGAATGTAGGCCTCTACAGGCAGCTTTGTCTTCAGGCTTTTTGTTGCCACTCTGTTGAAGGTATAAATCCTTTGCTTTATAACCATGTTGTACTGTGTATTTGTCCCTTTCATTGGTTTAATTTTTTTTATTTTGTTTGTCCATTTCTCTGGATGTTTTTGTTTTGGATGCTCATTGTGTTTCTGACTGTCTTCCTCCTGTTTTTCAGGTGGTGGTTCAGCGAGTGCACATAGATGGACTCGGAAGAACAAAGGAGGACCTGCTGACTTATGAAATTTCAGAAGTTTTCAGGGCGAAGAACTTGATAGACGTATGTATGCTTCATTGCCCGGCGATGTTTATTTCTTGTTTGGTGCCCGTTTGTGTGGAGCCCTCACAGGCATCAACACTGTTCGCTGTTTGATGCAGGTGATGCGGAGGTCTCACGAAGCCCGACAGAAGCTGCTGCGTCTCGGTATCTTTAGGAAGGTGGAAGTTGTCATTGACACGTCTCGAGGTAAAGACCTTTAACGAACCCTAAGTTTGATTTTTTGCATATTAGCTTTGTTCATTTAAAAACAGCATTATTTCCTTTGTCTGCAGGTGAAGATGCCCTTCCTAATGGCCTTGATGTGACCTTTGAGGTCACAGAGCTGAGGCGCATGACGGGCAGCTATAACACTATGGTTGGAAACAATGAAGGCAGCATGGTTAGTTCCCTAAACCAAGTTGGTGTTTATTACTAATTCACTGAGTTTTGTTTTAGTGATTTATTTTCGGCTCCTTTTCCTGAATTATGCGTTCTTTATATAATTTCTAACATTGTGTTTTATTAAAAGGAGTTATTCTCCTGGTAAACTTCTACTTTGTGTAATTACAGGTACTCGGACTCAAATTACCGAATGCGTTTGGTCGGGCAGAAAAACTGACATTCCAGTTCTCTTATGGTACCAAAGAGACATCCTATGGACTGTCTTTCTTCAAACCCCAACCAGGACACTTTGAACGCAAGTAAGATATAAAGAGCTTAAAAAAAATAGCTTGAGGTCAAATTAACATAATATGTGAAGAAAATATGCATAGTTAGGAGTTCCATTCTATCCCTAAAGATATGTGTCTTTAAAATAGGGCAAAAAAAAAGTAGAGATGGACAAATGCATGGGCTGAGCGTATTGGCCGATATCAGTCCGATTCTCGTTAAATGAATTAACCTCGCCATGTGAGTAAAGGCATTATGCTCGACATGAAAGTTGTTTGAAAAAAAAAAAAAAGTTTACAAATAATCATGATATAAATCATTGCTAGCTGCTGTGGCCTCTGCTCCATGATGTAATCAGCAATGCAATCCTAAAACTGAGGTTAGTAGATCACTGTGACTGTAAAGCTGTGTATGATATTTATAAAAATAAAAAATGATTGGAACAGAATGCTGGATGAACGTCATTAATCGGATATCCAAGTCAGCTAATTAGTCAGAGCTGATATTGCATCCCAGTATTTTTACGGCCCTCAACCAAGAGTCTGAAAACTGTAATTCAATTCAGTTTGTTTATATAGCACCAATTCACAACACAAGGCACTTTACAGTGAAAGTTCAACCAGATCATCCAGTAAAATTTATTTAAAGTTAAACTAAGGAAAACCAGTTTAATGCATCAACTAATTGACTCTTCAGCAATCCCTCACACCAAACATGCTTGTAGCAAAAGTGGAGAGGAAAAACTCCCTTTGAACAGGATGAAACCTCCAGCAGAACCAGGCTCAGTGTGAGCGGCCATCTGCTGAGGCCGAC